CTTTATTTAATAACTGCAGTAGCCATATAACAAATGAGACAGTTACGATTAAAAAAAGCAATTAAAGAGAATTGTAAAAATTTGATTAAAAAAAAATATTAAAGAAAGAAGAAAAAATTAGTGTTAAGAGAAAAACAAATAAAATAAAATAAAAAGTATCCCTAAGGCTATACGATACTCCGTTGACATGACGTTTTTAAAATCGGAAAAAGGCATACCCAAGATTCAAGACCTGCAATTTTGGGGACTTTTCTAACGGTAGCTCCCAAACGAAACACAATATCCCCAATGTAATGCCCACATTGCCAATGCCGGGCAAATGTAACAAAATTACCTTGAGAAGCACACGACAACCTCAGGCAAAGTAGGGTGGGTCAGGGTGAAGTAGAAGTTAAGGCGTAGCAAAAGAAATTTGCATGCAATGCGAGAACAGAAACTTCATCGAGTGCGAAAGAATACAGCTGCGCGCAATACCGAATTAAAGAAGGAATAGAATTTAGTTCAAAAAGGTACAAAGCGGGAACTCTAGCAACAAGGCATAGAAGTATTGTAAAAGAAACCTCTAACACTAGGATAGCCTCTAACGGTAACCCAAAGATCTAAAGTAATAAGAAATATAACACCTGGCACAAATTTACCACATAGTACAGTCAAATTATATCCAAATTCGTCAAATATTCAAGAAAATTGCGAAGTCTTTGTAACTTTGTATACTTATACATAAATATATTCTGTTTAAGAATTCGATGAGTCCCTAGCGTTATATAGTGTGCTCAGCCCAAAATCAAGGTTTAAAAACCGTCGCGCCGCTCGCCCACCTGTCGTAACGGCTCGTTCACACAGTAAAGTTTTCCCGGATCGGATTTTTGCCGTATACGCAGAACCAATAGAATGATGATCTTGCGGAATTCTTCAAGTATGAACTTGCTCCGTATCCACTTTCAGTGTAAAGGCACCAGCGAAATAAGGAAGACAAAAATTCTGCTGTTTATGACGTGTTCTGCTCAAAACATATCAAAGTTGGTATTCTTGCACCGGGATCGTTGGAAAAAGACCAAGGACAATGGCCAAGACATGAATCTAATGCTTTTTTTGGCAGCCATATGTATTTCCATCCAAGTTTTCAAAATAGTTATTTATGCACCAAGATCGTTTGGAAAAACACTAACAGCATTATCTCAATGCCCAAGACATGAATTGATGCATTTTTGTTGACTATATGTATCTTCCAAGATAAAAATGAATTGTCGTTAAAAAAGTGATGGTAATCCTGAGTATCCTTCGATATTTTGTTGTATCGGTTTGTTTGACGCAATAGAAATGTTTAACAATAGAGGAACATGCGTGTAGTCGGTGAGGATTTTGATCCTCTTGTTCTCTTGCCTTTAACACCAAAAAATATAGTCAAACAAAGGCGACATATTGTATGTTTCAGAAGCAAAAATTACCATTTTTCAAACTCTTGCAAAAAAATGCAATTAGCTATAGCAAGGCTATAGTGAGAACCTTCAATGACCAAAATTACAACCCTATTATAAGTAAGAGAAGCTGGTGAACGCATTTTTCTGATGGTATACGGTGAGAAGAAAATTTGAAATCTTCCGTTAATTCATATAGGTTTTACCAATTTAAAAAATTGCTGCAAAAGCAAAAATCAGGGCCGAATTATTACCACTAACTTGAGTGGCCGCCCTCAGCATTACTCACGAGTATTCTACCAAATTCAGATATGGCTTCGTAGTACCAAAAATACCGAACAGTGGGGATGGAAGAAAATCAACGGCTCATATTGTAGCCTATTACAACACTCTTGAAGTCTTGACGCGAGGACCACAATCCGTACAAGTACAATGCGATCAAAAATGACTTGCTGTCGAGTCACCTTTGGAATTTTTGTTTGCAAGGGAAATCGCACTTAACTTGAACTTCCAAAGGCGACTCGACAGCAACTCATTTTTGATCGCCCGTTATACTATAACTTATTTCGTGCAACAGTACGGTTGCATACATGGAGCAAATTTTCAAACATCTTTACGACCCCGTCACCCACTGATCTCGAAAAAGAGTCGCGCGGGAAAGTAATAGTTTGTACACACAATTTATTTCGATGAGACCTTTCATTAGAATACCATGAAAGGTAGAACGTGTGTACCTCCCCCCCCCCCCCCTCCGTTTACAAAGGTTTTACTTCGCACCACTAAAGGCGTGCGTATACAAAATCTCAAACCAATTGGTTTTCGTATGTAAAAGTTATGCACGTTGTACTATCAAAAACAGCATCTCAAAAAATAATGAATAGGGGGGGGGGGGGACTTATACAGCGAAATATGATAGCCGCCTGGCACACCTTCAAGAAATAGGCCACCTATTCCAGGACTCTAGTACCATTTCCCTAAACGTAATTTAAATCAAAACGGCAAAAGTGGGTCCGGACGGACGGACGGACGGACAAAACGCAAACAATAGCACATTTTTTGTTAATTCTTAACAAATGCGCTACAAATGTCACAAAGTATTTTTTTAATAGGATTTAACTGCCACTTCCTGTTAAAAAAGTGAAAATCCAGTTGACCCTACGTTCTTTGAGCATGGCCACTCCAGCACACCTCTTGTGGTTAGGGACTCTTCGGTTCCTTGAAATATATGTATTTTCAAACGTCTATACCAAGTTTCAACTACTTCGCAATTTTCTTGTCTATTTTGGACAATTTTCCTGTACTAACAGCAACAACTTACATCTAAACTAGTTGATTACAAATCGGGCGTAAGAATACCAAATTGAAATTTAACCAGGAATAAGAGTCGCAAGTAGCAGAAAGTTTACCTTGCAATAAACGGCGGGGGGGGGGGCGGTTTTTCCAACCGACACAGCATATTCGGTTATCTGCATCCAACATTACAACTTTATTAATTAATTACGTCCTTCTCAGACGTCTTAAAAATACGGGACCGGTGTCAAAATTCAATTTGTTTAAGAGCGCACCTAACGAATGTAATCTCGACTTACTTGGACACTTATTATTATTATACTTATCCAAGTAGTCGGAATGAAACCTCCAAATTTGGCAGTCCAGCAATGCCCTTTTGTTCCTTGGAATGGCCGAAGTCAAGCGGCGTAATCTGACCTAAACCATAACATTGATTCTCTCTCATCTTCCATGGCAAGAGAGCTTTCGGCAGCTGTGCAAACAATTTAAATATTCCTACGGGCACACAGACATAAATATTTTGGGAGCGACAATCTTCGTAACGCAGCGCCCAACTTAAAGCCCTTCTTGATACCGGGTGTTTATCTACAGAGTGATCACTGGTAATTTCAAGGCGGAAAACAGGTGCTTCCGTTACACTTGTTCTAGGAAGAGGTAATAAGTAGATTACATAGTTTTGTGTCAGATTCAACGATTTTGAAAATATAAATGTTTACCAGCAGAACATAATAAATAAGGAAACGTTTATCAATGACATACAGAGCGGCTAATAAAAATGGAACCAAACCCTTTTGTCACAACGGTTTGAGATATCGTTTAGAAAACTACAGGACATAGACCTTGAAACTCATCCTTGGAAAGGTTATTTTATGTTGACAAAGTGTAATGAAAAAGTGCGATTACCCCACAAATAATATTCGATAATTGGTTGTTTGTTAATTTCAAAGAAATTTTTATCAATTTTATTTTCTAAAAATTTGATTACACTCTTTTTCTAGAATTTTTAACCGATGAACAGTATACAAAACTCAGATATTTGTTATAATAAACATTATTTTTGAGGTAATCGCACTTTTTCATTACCTAATTCATAATAAAGTACTATTTCTATACATTTACACTTTTACAGTATGGTGACAATGATAGGAATAAATTCAGTATTTCTTAACTAGGTGAGTGCAGAGAAAATCCTGAGATTTGTCGATTTTATATCTTAAAATTACATCATAATGTGTAAAAACTGCAACCCTAAATTTAACACCCTTAGAGTGAGGGTGGCAATCGATCCATTTTTAAATAGGAAGTAGGGGCTTGTGATTCCCATTTGAAAGGTTTTTTGATTCTCTATTCAACCAATATTCAAACAATAATCAAATCGGTTGCGGTTACGAGTAGAAATCATTTGTGACTGCCACAAGATGGCGCACCTCCATACTACGCGTGCGTTAGGACCATTAATCAAACCCACGTTTTCAAAACTGCAACCTAGCGCTTCTCACGAAACTATGTGATAATATAAAGTGATGTGTTGGTCATGTAAAACACATTAAGATCGTGTTCCCGCCCGTCAGACTGGCGCTGATAACTTTCCCAGGTGATTAACCGATTACTATGTATCTGGAAGCCTGTGACTCATAAAATTATAGATCGTCAAACAAATTTGAAAACTATTGAACTTTGAATATAACATTTTGGAATAAACCATGCTCTAATAGAATCACTCTTTATCTCTTCTAATACACAGTACCCAAAAACTAAAAAAACGCCAATCAAAGGCTCCCGTTACAGTGATACGATGATTTCATAAGTCTACGCAAGAAACCCAAACAGCGAGAAATTGTTTATTTCGTAACTGGTGGTAATTGAAACCATAGACTATAGTGTAATTTATTAGTCCATGCTGAAACTAACGAAATAGATTTTAGAGAGATTTTCCCCCCTGAAAATAATTAATTGGGGAGCTGGGGTCTTTTGTTACTGTCCAAGTATTCGTTAATGATGGAGTGGAGTAGGCTGGCTCATCTCAAAAATATAATAAAACCAAAACAGTATTACGAATCATTAGTAAAGTTTTTAGAAACTCGTAGGAACCTTTGTATATGATAGAATGCGGATCGCGTGATTAAATTACAAATAGAAGCAATAAAACGAAATTTCGGGGGTACATCGGTGTGCTCTGTTAATTCGACCTTTTCAAATCTAGGTCAGATAAGCGAAAATTCTGATCACAGAAGCGAATTTGTTTTCAAATATTTTATTGATCGTTAGTAACTCAAATATTTATTGTTGCAGAAAATGCGGCGCCCTCGATCCGACTGAAAATGGTGTAAGAAAACACGAAGTCATTTCGAAAATTGGTTGTGAACGGAACAAATATGAGTGCAATAATAAAAGCATTACTAGTGCCATTTCTTGCGTTGTGTTTTTCGGTGATATGGAACTCCAATCGAGTTAATGGAGATGTATTCTTACATCGGGGGAGAAATAGGAAGCCGGTTTTATCGCCCATAACCTCATCGAGGGAACGGAAACCGAACATAGTGCTAATTTTAACTGACGATCAAGATGTCGAATTAGGTTCGTTAAATTTTATGCCAAAAACTTTACGTGCGATACGCGATAAAGGTGCCGAGTTTCGTCACGCATACGTAACGACTCCTATGTGCTGCCCGTCACGATCCTCGCTTCTGACAGGAATGTATGTGCATAATCATAATGTGTTCACAAACAATGACAATTGTTCAAGTACTCTTTGGCAGGCGACTCACGAGACCAGATCGTTTGCTACTTATTTATCGAATGCTGGATACAGAACAGGTAATTTAGTATAATTAAGGCCAAATATGAAATCGTCATGAATCGTTAATCGCTCCGGCTAGTCTTATATGGGTTTTGCATCTTCGTGATGCAGATTATATGATATGACTAGATCAAACACAAATCTCGTTATGTTGTATGCATTTGGTTTTTATTTTATTTATTGCATATCCTTGTTGTTGCAGTAATTTAAGAGTAATATACCTACCGGTCCTGCATCAGTGCGTCGAGGTTTCCTAGCTCATAGCTGGTAAAGAATATCAAAAAACCTTTTGTGCAAATGTGAACCATAGATAGTTGCGCATCTACTGAAATTATTTTTGAATGTACAGTGTCTCATTTTTACAGTGTCAATTTTTAATGGAACACCCTGTGTATTTTTAGTTGTTAAAACTACGGGGTTTTGGGCCAGTCGACATGACGGTATAATTTGGGGGTACCAATTTTCCTTTTTACAGTGGTTATACAGGTTTATTAGGATGCCAAAAAATCATGATTGCCATCTCAAAGCGGTAGCTAATAGAAATGGCGGCCAATCAAAGATGGCGGATGTAGAGTTTTATAAAGTAAACTATATCTCTGGAATTATTGATCCAATTTCATTAATCTTTTTTTTTAATGAAAGCTCTTTATATGTGCTATAAATATTGTTATTAGTACTTTTTCGATAAAATCAACTGTTAATAAGTAATTTAAAAAAATGTTTTTTTTAATTGTTTCCCGAATGTTCTTTACTGCCTGTATTAATACACAATGAATGGTAAAATTATGCGCATATTATGCAGAATATTAGTGAAAAATATGCAAACAGTTTTGATATATATGCACACGTATACAAAATTATATATGTTGCATAATTTCTAATAAAAAAGGAATTACGATAAACACTAGCAATAAGATGTTTCTCTAAGTTTTCTGCACGAAATGATTGTCTCCTGTCGCTAAGAATTAATTTATAAGCACTAAGCAGAGAAACTATACTCTACATCAACTAAAGTAATAGGTGCATTAGAAATGGACAAACTATTGGGAGCAATTTCCAAACCTTCCACAATATCACCCATCATCACCGTAGAGAAAGAGAAAGATAAAATAGTTTGGAAATGATGAAATTAAACATCAATTAAATCAATAAATCTTCCTTTCGGCTTTTGCAGTATGTTTCATTATCGCGTCCGTTATAAAAATCCGAAAGAATGTATTAAAAATTGAAATTAAAATCGATTAAATCTAACAAAAATTTAAATACATCTTAAAATATGCAATTCTATCATGTAAATGCAAAGGATATCAAAATATGCAAGATACGCAAAAATAAATTCGGTTTAATAAATATTGCAAACCGAAGATACACAAAATCTCATAAGACAACCAAAAGTAAACGATTATTCACAGCTTTAGCTGATCAAACAATTGAATTAAAATAAAAATAATTACTAAATACAAAAATCATTGAAGTTACGTCTATAGATATATTGTAGCTGAAGAGCCATGATCAAATAACAAATGATGAAATTGGTATGTGCGGATTATGTTTCTAAACCTGCACTTCTCTACTTTAATTGAACTTGTATCTCAATTTGGACGACACTGGGTTCGTTGTAATTACAGGTGTAAAATTGGCTCTTTAATGGTGAAAAAACTCCCTTTAACGAGTACTGGGAAAACCTTAAAGAAAGGCTTCAGATAAGCGACGCCTGTTCGATAAACACAGCACTTCCACTAACTTCCTCGTAAAACGTGACACACGTTTCCGCTTAACGGTAAACAAGAACTTTACAACTGACAAGACTGACTGTCTTGCAATAAATACGATCAAATACGGCTTTTAGCCATAACATCAGCAAAGAGTTTGTTAATATTGATGGAAAGGTGTATACTGTGCCGATAATTTGACATAAGTAGATTATATAAAAAAAAATACATTGGAAAATTGTACGTCAAAATCAAAGAGATGCTATTCCAGAAGCAGCAAAAAGATGAAAGAATACCCTAAGTTTGGCTTCCATATCACCTCACGTAGAATTACCAAGCTGGCTCTTGACAACTACCATTACGTAATGCTAATAACTTAAAGTGTACAAGCGTATGCAAACTGCCAACTTGTGGATACGTCACTGAAGAAAAGGAAGAAGGAGCAGATTTTAGTGTATATGAAACTTTTGAAAGTAACGAGGGGTTAATTTAGTTTTCATTAAATGTTAAGAGGTAAAAAAAATTCCGTTCGTTTACTTCATGCATTAGTTACTAATTGTTGATTTTATCGGAAATGTAGTTATGACAATATTGTAGCACACACAAAAGCTTTCATTTAAGAAAATGATGAAGTTGGCCCAATAATTCGAAAGATAGGTATAGTTAATTTTATAAAACTCAACATCCGCCATCTTGGATTGGCCGCCATTTCTATTAGCTACCACTTTGAGATGACAATTATCGTTTTTTTTACATCCTAATGTATGTGTCTAACCGTGGTAAAAAGGAAAATTGGTACCCCCAAATTATACCATTTCCTTAAATTTAGCCAGGTGGCCCCTAGACTATTAGCATTGTTTTCAAGGTGGAGTATTTAGCCCAGAGTGTAGATGGCTTGTTCATCTTTGATTTTATAAAAAAAAAGTATACCGGGAGCATTGTTTCAGTAAAATTTTCTTTTTCACTGCACCGCTTCAGAAACTTAGCAAACTCTTTTTCATAAATTTATGTGGATTTCATTGGCACCAACTCAATGATCGTTTCATTTGCAGCATCAATGATCATAAGTTTGTAGTAAATTCTTTTAGCTGTTCCATATAATTAATTACCGGTGAATACTTCGATTTCGATTATTTTTTTTAATATGACTACGATTATTGACGAATTACTTTGACTACAAAGTATGATTTTCACTTGCTGTCCACGAATTTGAGTTTTACCATTGATTATATACTACGAATATATATAATCAATGGTTTTACTGTTTTTTTTAAATAAAATCATTACAGTACCGATACAGAGTAGTGGATGAAAGTATCGGAATGGATTAACGATATCAGTCTATTGCAAAGAAGAAAACATATCCTCAAAAGGAAACCATGTTCTAAGTTACTAGGTCGCCTAGTTCAGAAAAGGCATAACCCAGCACGAGTCCGATGGGGAGGAGGTTGCTCCTTTCTCTATTTGAAAAAAGAAAAACATCATTTGCAGTGATTGAACAGAAATTGGATGTTATTATACTCTCCCGATTCATTGATTATTTACAAAATCAAAGACGTTATTACTGCACGCATTAACATTAGGAGAGACCAGAGACGTTTGGACAAACGAGTTAATCTTCTTAAGATGTTCTCACCGCCTTTGTTGGGCATTTTCCGACAAATGTTTCCAAAGCACTTAAATTTCTAGCCCACCTCCATTTACTTACCTATAAACTGATTTTATGATCACTCTATTCATTGTAATGGTGATTGATGTCACAACACAATAACAAAATTAATGTGTAAAATCGTATATTCTATACGAGACTAAATGCAACGACTTTCAATGGTAATAAAGTAATAAAACTTGAGAAATTGACGATATAAATAGTATGACAATTTAAAAGTTGCGCTTTCTTTGCACTAACTTAACTTGATTTTATGGGTTTTAATTTATGTACTGATACATTTTCCATTTTTTTTTTGCCAAATCAATAAAATAATGCATTTCAATTATGTAAATATTATTTAAATTTTTATTAAGCCCATCACTATTAATTTTTGTGGATATTTAATTTACGTATATTCAATATCAATCATAACGCCTCGAATTATTATTTAGGTGCCTAAAAATACTAATATTCCGATTCATCGTTAGTGTCCGTTGTCTAAAAGCATTGACTATTTTAGTCAGTGCTAAAAGCCACATTAAGAAACTGTTTTGTGACCTACGTCTCATTGTTCCTAATGTATTTTAAAGTAATTACAAATATATAAATGAGTACTTTTCCGCATTTTAGCATCTGTTGAGACCTAGCAGTTTCCTTTCCAAATAAGATAGTGCCTTCTGCGCATGCCTACCGGTCTGCAAATTAATAGGTGTCGTCTCCAAGAGGAAAGAAATACGACTGATTGAGTACTAACAATGAACGTACGTACGTACGTACAAATACGTTTTAGTTTCCTTTTTCGAATTTTATATAGAAACCAGAAATGCGGGTTTGCTATTGGTTCAAAAGGCACGCAAGACTCAGCAGTTTCGTTGATTCCGCTTTAAATTTTATATAAATAGCTGAATACAGAATAGCCGAAGAACAATCGCATAATCGCCCTAATGAAAGTGATTTTGTTCGCGAAATTAGTGACCGTAGAATGCAAAATTTAGGTACTAACGCCGAGTTTCGACGGGAAAAACAATATAAGCTCGTGGTTGTAATAGTGATGATGGAACAAAGAAAAATTAGGGTGTCCATTGCATCGGTATTTCAATTTTAAGTAAAAGGACTTGTGGTACGTTTTCTTACCCATCGCGAAAATTTTTTATAAATATTCAACAATATTAATTCCGATCTTTTTTAATCGGGCGAGGATGGTGGTTAATATCTATGGACTACAAGGAACGCTGGCTGAAGAAGAATACCTTCTAAAAAGAGCTACGGTCATCCCGAATGCCCGACCCTAGGATAAAGTCGACATCGTGCCTAAGATACCTACAGCGTAGTGAAATAAAAATATGCACTAAAGGTATTATAAATTAAATCATTTTATAACTGCCAACATTTAAAGAGACCGTAAACCAACCGGTTTAAGAATTAAGAATTTTATATATAAATTGAACTTTCCCATTTTTTTGTGTAAATTAATTGGGAAAAGTTCGTTAAATTTTCTAATGATTAAATCGTCTTTGGTCATAGTGTTAAAATTTCCAATCTATGAACTTATGCCCAGTCATGTAATAGTGCTGGTAAGTAAGACGACCATTTAAATTTCAAATAACTAAATCAATATATTACCATTGTATTTATTTCGTTTATAAATACAATG